GAGCCGGCCCGGGGCTGGGCCTCGGGAAAGCCCCAGGCGGTGGGGAAAGTGGCCGCGTTCCCGACGGCCCCGCGTGCACTTCGTCTCTCCGCTCCGAAGCGTCTCCTCGCCCCGGCTGCTGCCCGTTCTCGCGGCGTCTTGGTCCTGCTGCCCTGGCTGAGGGAAAACCGAGGGACCTGCGGTCCCCGGCCCCGAAATCCCGAGGGCCTCCCGGGTCGTCCCGGACGGAGACTCCGCGCCTGCCTTGAAGGGTTGGGGGCGGGTGCGTGTGCGTGCGTGTGTGTCAGTATCAGTGTCTTGACAGGGAAGCTGGAAACTTCTTATGTAAGGGGCAGGGCTAAGCGAATGTGGAGTGATGACTGAAATAGCATCCCCAAAACCAGACAAAAAGTTTTGGTTCCTTCGCGCGCTCTCCCTCCCCTCCCCATTCTCAAAAAATCAACAAAGCTACTGTTTTAATTTCCAGTTTGTGCAGTGCTGACCATAGAATGTCTGTTCTTTTCCTGGGAGGTGAGGGAAGCTAGTTTGTTAAATTTGTTAAAAATCTGCCCTCCCAGCTGGGGGTGTGGCTTAATGATAGAGTGATTCCCTGGCCTGCATGCAGCCTTGGGTTCAACACATTAATAAGAAAAACAAAAACAAAAAACCCTACCTTGGCCTAGGAAGGCGGCTCAGTGGTAGAGTGCTTGCCTAGCATGCATGAAGCCCTAGGTTCGATTCCTCAGCACCACCTAAACAGAAAAAGCCAGAAGTGGTGCTGTGGCCCAAGTGGTTGAGTGCCAGCCTTGAGCAAAAGAAGCTCAGAGACAGTGCCCAGACTCTGATCAAGCCCCAGCACTGGCAAAAAAAAACAACAAAACAAACCTTCCCCCCCTCCCAAATCCCTGCCTTTCCTCTTCCCTTTCCATAAATATGAAGGAAAGAATAGTCCATTTTCATCTATATTTTCTCTTAACATGAAGTCACAGTGTCAAAACCAATTTGCCTCAGAATTGAGGCATTAGTGCTAATTTTTATTTTTTGGTGGCACTGGGATTTTTAACTTGTGCTGGGGAGAGCATCACTTTTATTTTTTGCGTTAGGTATCTTTCAGGTAGGGTCTCAAGTCTGCATAGTACCTAATCCCCAGTTCTGATTCCTATCTGTGGCTTCCCGTGTAGCTAGGATGATAGGAACACATTACTCTACATTTAGCAGTGATTGAGATGGATATCTCACTAACTTTTTATCTGACCTCCTCAAATCTTACAAATCCTCCCACGTTGTGTGATTACAGGTGTGTGCCACCTCTCCCAGCATTTATTGGTGATATTTAGCATCTGTTGGTGTTGAATATGACAAGCCATTGAGATTGGTAATATGGCAAGTAAATGGGTTTCTTTCCTTGGTTTCTCATGGTCTGGCAAGAAATTACACAAATAATTTTAAACTTGAGTAATAATGATAAAGCAATTAGAACTTACTTAGCATTTGTTTTAGCCTAGTTACTAATAGATTTTTTTTGTGTGTGTGCCAGTATTGGGACTTGAACTCAGGACCTGGACACGGTTCCTCAGTTTTGGATTTTGCTTAAGGCTATCATTCTACCACTTGAGCTTCAGCTCCACTTCTAACTTTTTCGTTGTTAATTGGAGATAAAAGTCTTGTGAATTTTCCTACCCCACCTGGCTTTGAACTTTGATCCTCAGGTCTCAGCCTCCTGAGTAGCTAGGATTACAGGTGTGTGGTGCCCCCCCTTTTTTTTTGTCGGTCCTGGGGCCTGAACTCTGGGCCTGGGCGCTGTCCCTGAGCTCTTCAGCTCAAGGCTAGACCTCTACCACTGGAGCCATAGTATTTTTTTTTTTTTTTTCTGCTTATGTGGTGCTGAGGAATCGAACCCAGGGCTTCATGCATGCAAGGCAAGGCAAGCATGAGCCACCTTCCCAGCCCTGGTGCCCAGTTTTAAGTGTGTTTAATGTATTATGTAAGAATTCTTATGAGGCAAGTATTAGTGATTACACAGTGAGGAATTTCAGTCCAGCAGAAAAGGCTTCCTAGTAGAGGTGACATTAGAGCTGTAGTTGTAAGGACTTACAGGAGTTTGTTAGGTGTGGGGAAATGGATTTGAAGCACAACCCCTTAGATGGTTTATTAGGGCTTTTTGGTGTACTCAGAGGGCAGGTAAGATGGAATATGAAGCAGGAGATTGGTGGTCAGTAGAGGAACAGGTTCAGTTCAGAAGACTTGTAGGAAATTTTAGATATATATTTGGCCAGAATTTCTTAAGGTGTAGACTTTTTGCTTTGGAATCATCTGAGATGATGCCTATTTTTCAAGTGTATAAAGACTAATTCCAAATGGATTAAGTGGTTCAATGTACAAAGCAATAGAAGAAAATTTAGGGTGTTTAAGCTAGGAAATCCTAAGGCCAAGAAAGAAGTGAGAAGTATTTGACTAAAACATGAAAAGGATTTTTTGTAGTTTTAGTAGCAAACTTACAAAAACAACACAGAACACAGTTAAACACATGTACTTGAAAGTAGGACAACTTAGAAAAGTACAGTGAGTACGTGGAATATGCCATATGAGGAAAATGCTACAAACATTATTTACCTTCTGTCAATAAATTTATTTTTAAAAATTCAAATGGTGACATCCAGATTAGTATTTGTGCCATTACTGGGTCTTGAGTTCAGGGGCTGAGCACTGTCCCTGACCTTATTTTGCTCAAGGCTAGTACTCTACTAGTTGAGTCATAGCTTAATGTCTGGCTTTTTGGTGGTTACTTGGGGATAAGTCTCTTCAGTTTGTCTGCCCAGGCTGGCTTTGAACACTCATCCTCAAATTTCAGTCTCCTAAGTAGCTAGGATTACAGGTGTGAGCCACTGGTGCCTGACTTGTCCAGAAAAGTTTTTACATGTTTATTTATAGTTCTTATAAAGTTGAATTGCTGAAATTTCTTCACTGAAACAATTTGACTTGTGATAATGTTTTATATCCTTTTATTAAAACCTCACAAAATAGAAAAGCTATCAATACCTGATTTTCAGTCCCCTATCTTTTCCCTTGGAATCATATACATAGGTACCTTTAGATACCAAGACCTAAATCTTTAAAATTCTAGAAAACACTTAAAATAATTACATAGCAGAGCAAATAAGGAACTTTTTTTTTTTTAAAGGAAAAAAAGGACTGGGAATGTGGCTTAGTGGCAGAGTGCTTGCCTACCATGAATGAAGCCCTGGGTTCAATTCTTCAGTACCACATAAACCGAAAAAGCTATTAAGTGGCACTGTGGCTCAAATAGTAGCCTGTTAGCTTTGAGCAAAAGAAGCTCAGGGACAATGCCCAGGCTCGGAGTTAAAGCCCCAGGACTTGCCAAAATAACCAAATAAGAAAATACAACTTTTCTACTATGTAGGGCAGTTTAATTTTCTTTGCTAATTGTTGTTCATGTGTGGGTTTGAGAAGTTGTAAGTTAAAACATACATGAATAAAATGAATTATTAAACCCACACATGAATAATATGAATTGAAGAAATCAGCTATAATGTGAAACAAGGCTGTTTCAACTGGAGTTAATTATTAGTTTCCTACTTGACTAGCAGCTGCATAAACAGTTGATACTCTTATTTAGGTGACAAGTGGTAACAATGAAAAATGTGCAGTAAATACTCAAGTGATGCTACTTCAACAAATTTAAATCCAAAAGCGGTTTCAAGTACAACTTTTATTATGTACATTTCCACTAATCTGTAATTATCAGAAAGCCTTTTTTTCAGTTTCACTATAATAGAAATACAAAGTGAGTGACATTATCATTAGTGGATGTGATTTTTATAATGAGTAATATGAGTTCTTTAGCTTAATGACTGTTTTCTATGTAGTAAAATGTGTATTTTTTTCAAAAAGGAGATGTATAACACATTATACTTTCAAGGAAAATCTTATATTCAAAAAGCAAGTGTATTAAAAAAATTTTTTTGAGACAGGGAATTGCTATGTATTCCAGACTGGTCTCAAGATCCTCCTGTCTCCATCTCCAGAACGGTGTGAGTACCCAGCTAAAAGTCAACTTCTTTTGGCCTGAATTTGAGTCTCATTTAATTCCTGAATAATAAAGAAATTCACAATTAAGGTTCAAATTTTATCTATATTACCGTGTATTTGATTCACACATTATTTTAAGCTTGTATATTTTAAGTCATGGTTACAGAATGATTTTATAGGAATATATTGAAGGTGTAATTTTATTGTATGTATTGACTTTGGTTTAATTCTCTACAACTTTAAAATAGTATTGTGAGATGAAACAATAGGATTTTTACTCTGATAAAAACAACTGAATAGAGACTATTTCTAAAGAACTCACTTCTAATGAGCAAGTGTTCAATATCTTAACGGTAGGAAATCATTATGCTATTAAACTTGAATTTCTCCTTTCTGTATTCTTCAGTCTTCGGAGTATATGTTTCTGGACACTTGCAGTTAAACTGTAAATTTGATGATATTCTGACTACACTATTTAAAATAGTATTATCTTCATGTAGTAAACACATTTCCAAAACACATTGCCATAATGCACTGAAGTTACTCTCTGAAGACTAAAAGCTCTGCTAATTTGGAAAAATCAATGACTAGGTCTTTGTAAGTAATTAAGGTTCTATTTTTCTTCTAAACGTTCCTTTACTAATTTTTCCAAAGAGAAAAGATGTTCATCTGCATCTTCTGGTACAAGGTTTCTGATAGAATTTGCAAGTTCAAAAAGATATTCTGTATTTCTTCCACTTGGACCAGCTGCATTAAAAATTTGTTCAGCAATGTCTTCAAGAGGTGCAGGACCAAGATAATTAGGATTATCACATGTTCCAATATATAGCAACACACTGAATGGTTTTGTTGTGGGATCTTT